GGAAAGAGAGACAGTAAATAGCACATGTTAATTTAATTGAGAAACAGAAGCTGAGGTTTAAGCCAAGGCAGCACATCACTAAACACACACACACACTTTCTCCAACCAACCTGTTGTCTTTTAAAAAGCCCTGGAGGCTCCATATTGATTGTCATGGTTACGTCCTCTGCAAAACCAGATCAATCACACACGCCACGGCCACGAAATGCATTCAGAAAAAAAATAATAACCATTCCTGTCCTATTGAAATCAAGATAGTGAGCTTATCAGTCACTGGAGGGAAAAACATGAATGATGGGAAGACAAAAGTGGCGGATAACGGGACAGAAATGGACATGAGACCAAAATTCTCAATCTGAATCCTTTGCATGATCTATGATCTCTCACCGTCCCCTCGTTCCCCCCGTGCATGGTGTTGCATTTCAGCCAGTGGCACCCCTGGCTGCCAAATAGGATACATGAATGGGCTCTCGTCACTGATTACAGAGAGACAGAGAGGTGGGGGAGCGGGTAGGTGGGTGGTACAGATGCTGAGGGGAGAACTGAGAATTGGCAGGGGGCTGGTGGGGTTCGTGGTCATCTGTTGCACAGGACAAGCTCTAGTTTCCAGCTCTGAGCTTCATAACCACATGTTGCTGCGCTGATTGACTGCATTAACGTTCCTCCAGCTGCTTCTATATCTGTCGTTCTCTCTCTCACTCTGTACCTCCCTCCCGTTCTTCGTTCTGCTCAGTTGTTGTGTCCATCTCAAAGAGGCAGAGAGCTTTTCTGAGTTGCAGCCTGATGATATTTTGGACCTCACTAATTCAGACGTCGAGAGAGAATTGTGAGCGCTGCAGATGTGAGGTAAGAGTTCTGCTTTGAGAAAAGTGCATGAGGAACTAAAGTCAAAGGATTGAGAGGAAATATTTAGTTTTAGATTCAAGGTGAATTTGGGAAGTGTTTCCAAAGCACCAAAGAGGGATTTCCGCAAGTGATGCATCTGTAGTCAGTTTGATGGAGATGGTGGATCAACAGGTGGTTGTTTCTGTGCAGTGTCTCCCGCAGTGTGTGTGGTGGCAGCCGTGGAGTTTGTGGTGTGGGTGATTTGGCTGTTTCTTTGGGAGTGATTCACACTCCGCTGCTCCGGGAGGATGGGAGGCTGGGGTTATTGTCTGTCACTTTGGGTTCATCTCAATTGGGGTCCCCTAGGATAGGATATGAAAGAAGACCACAATTAAATTTTTATTCCTTGCTGACAAATCATATTGTTGTTAAAAATGAAATTGATTTTGACCTTAACTTGCACTTTCAGCACTACCAGCGTCATTTAAAATATTAAAATGATTATTTGTGTGGTTTTAACATCAGTTTACCTGCATGACTTCATTATCTGTACTAAATGTTTCTTCAGCAGCAAACTGACATATTAGAATGATTTCTGAAGGATACACAAGACTGGAATAATGGCTGCTGAAAATTCAGCTTTGCATCACAGGAATAAATTACATTTTAAATTATATTCTTATAGAGAACACTTCTTTTAAATTAAAATAACATTTCACAATTTTGATCAAATAAATGCAGCCTCGGTGAGCATAAGAAATTATTATTTTAGAGTTTTTTTTTCATTGGTTGCCTGCATGACTTCAGTATCTGTTATAAATGTTTCTTTAGCGGCAAATCAGTATACTAGAATGATTTCTGAATGATCATGTGACTCTGAAGACTGGAGTAATGGCTGCTGAAAATTCAGCTTTGCATCACAGGAATAAATCCCATTTTAAATAAAAAAAAACAGTTATTCTAAATTATAATGATATGTCACATTTTTGATCAAATACATGCAGCCTAGATGAGCATAAGAGACTTTTAATAAGGCTTTAATATCATTGGTTAACTGCATGACTTCAGCATCTGTTATATCATGTTTAAAGATGATACTGACACCTTTGCTTTGTGCTGAAATGTCCGCTCCTCTCAGGACACATGATGGCAGTGTTTGACCGGTTTGCCATGTGTGATGATAGGGAAATCTATTGCACTCATCTGTCCACTCTCATCCCGTCACGCGGCACTGTGCCAAACCCTAATCTATTAGAGAGGGGGTGGCGTTCCTCTGTGTCTGAGAGAGTTAAATGGCCATGTGGACACCTTGATGAAAGCGTCTGTTTCTGTTCTGTGATAAATGGGATCTGTTTAATCTCAAACATATATGTCCTCTGAGAATAGTCACTCATAAATCTTGGCCGAATTGGCTGAGAATCAAGTCAAATTTCCAAAACACTGTCCCACTGTGGAAGTTCAACAAGTTAGATGAAAATCAGCGGATTGATATCTGTCTTGAGCTACATGATAATGCAGTTTGCATTTTCTCTTCTTTTTTTTTTGCTCAGAGACTTAATGGAGTTCTCAGTTGTGTTTGTCGGAGTAATAGCAAATAGGTGGGAAACATATCACAGGTGTTTCTCCTGTAATTCATTAGACAAAATAAACAGTGACATACGAATAGCATTAACAGTCAACTGATATGGGCTTTTCAATGCCTGATGCCATTTTTAAAGTGGCTGACAGCTGATAGAATGTTGTTACATTATAATTAATTCAAATGAGATGGCAAAATAATATAAAGTATATTAATGTTAAACAAAGCTTATAAGAACACAACTTGTTTCTTGAGCATCAAATCAGCATATTAATGATTTCTGAAGGATCATGTGACACTGAAGACCGGCAGCTTTGCATCACAGGAATACATTTTTTATTAAATCAATGCAGCCTTATTGAGTATAATACATTTATTTCAAAGCCATAAATCTTACGACCCCACACTTTTGTTGATAGAGTATAATATATTATTATATCACAAGCTAATATTTTATATTACTCTACAGTATAACTCAGGTAATTCGGTTGTGGAAATATTTTAGTAAATGTTTGAGCTCGTATTCAAATCTCTGGTTTTTGTAAGCCTAAGCAGCGTGAGGCATTTTTGAGATCTTTTCCAAAACTCTTTTGTGGTTTTCAGACAAAACCAAGATGCAGGTTCAACAAAAGTCTTTCATTGTCACTGTTGTTTAGGAGAAACAATTGCAATATTTTATATATGTCATAAAATCAAATTCTTTCTCATTTTCATTGTTCGGAGACTGCTTGTTCAAACCTCAGGAAACTTAATGGAGTTTTCAGTTATGATTTATTTGTCAACATCTCAGATATGTCTTATGTCTTAGTAGAAATAAAAAGATACAAACAAGACAATTGTTAACATATGAGTACAGAGTTATGAAACAAATGTGGATAAAAACTCATATTGAGCTCATTTGGTGACTTTGCATTTTGGCAAATCTGAGCAGAGTTTGAGATATTATTCAGAGAGATCTCTTCTGAAATGCTAGACTGAGAGCACTGGTGTCTTTTTCTAAAGAGAGAAATATGTGACGCATTAGATTTCCATTTCAATTCCATTACTGTCCAAGAGAATCAATTGAAAAGCTAAAGCGATCTCATTTGTGCTCTGAAAACCAGTTAATTTGAGTATTACATCATGATAATCGCTTTTTCTGGAACAACCATTAATGGAACTGAGAGACACAGATGCTGATGTGTATCATATAACTGTTCTGGTTTTGTATTCCTGTAATCTGAAGTTCTGTGCGCTGAGCTCAGGTAAAAACTGACTCGTCGTGATATCAGCACTTGCATCTGTTACATGTGTTTGATGTGCCAGAGGTTTCTGTTCCCTTTGATGATACTGTAGCAGACCTGGGGAGGGGGGTTGGACCAGTCAGAGGTATTCATTCGGACACCATAGTGACATCCGGGTAATGCTGTTGTCTTCTCCTCTTCATTAAAGCGACAGGCATAAGGGTAGTGATGAGTTATGATGTGTGACGTCTGTGAATATGAATGACTTGTTTTTATGTGAGTGCAGCTACATTGGGCACAGAAATACTGGACACTTGAGCCACACTTCAAATTTGTGAATGTCACTGCATTAGATATGAAATATCGAACCAGGTGGCATTTATTTGAAGGACAGATTTGCACACTTTTTGTGCACAAACACACTCAGTTTGTATGGTTGTAAATGCTAAAACAGTAGACATACTGTTCGAAATGAGTTTTTGGCCATTTTCATTGGTCAAACCTTAGCTGAACATGTCCAAAGTTAATGTGATAAAATACATTTGTGGTTATGTCTGTCTTAATCTGAATTTTTTTATAAACATCCTTAAAATAAGATCAATTTAACTTGAGAAACAAAATATCATAAGATACTGCATGTGACTTGTTTTCAGAGAATATATTTTGAAAGTTTATTTTTAAACTAACACCACAAAATTCTGTTAGATTCATGCTTAAACAAGAAAAGCAGTATAAAATAATAATAATAGGTATTTTATGCATTTTTTTTAAAAGTAAATGTATCTCGTTAGAAGGATGTTAATGTAATTTTATGAACAATCTGGACATTGTTCACAATGTAAATGAATGTCAATAAATAAATAAATAAACAAACATGGTTAATAAATATACTGTATGAGTTTATTATGTTTATTTATTTATTTGTTTACATTCTGCAAGATATGTCTTGTTTTATTGCTTAAAGGGGTCATATGATGCTATTTTAAGTAGGCGTGGTTGACTCTTAACTTTTATAAAGAATATCTCTTTGGATTTGAGACTTTAGTCTTTGCAACTTTACAGATCTTCTTTATGCACCAAGAGCTTGTAACACTTCAAAGAGAAAGGAAAACTTGAAATCGCATCATATGACCCCTTTAAAACAAGAAAACACAATGAATAATAATAATAATTCCTTTAGATATTTTATCTGGACATTTATACACTGTTCACAAAAATAAATGTGTGTCCAAAACTATAAATAAATATAGACTGGCCCCTAAGAGGTAGGTATTTATTTATTTATTTATTGGCATTCTGCGAGATATATTGTAAAACACGGTATCAATGTTATCTAGGGTTTTTAGGGAAACATCCCCTCTCACTCCCTTCTCTGCTTGTGAGAAGCTGCACTGGACAGAACCACCATCATGCCGGGCCTGATCAACAAGAGCAAATGGAGTGCTCTGCCTCTCAGCATCTCAGACATCAGTTCCTGTGTCAGGGGTTACACCCTGGCAATGACAGCCTCCTTGACCTATGAAAACATCGAAGATCACCCTATTGAGGGTGAGTATGCTGTCTAATAGGCGCATTACTTCTGATAGTTCTGAAATGATATCAATCGTTAATGGCTCTTCCTAAGTCATCACTATTATACATAATAAAAAAAAAAAGAAAAAGATTTAGGCCTAAAATTAAGATTTATGTAATTTCCATCCATTTGGGTTACACAGTTTTACAATAAACTAACTGTTAAACATTATGTGATGCATATTTGTCAGTCATACACAATAACCAGATTTATACTGTATATTTAGCATTATTAAATGCAATTTGTTTCAGTCTTATACATTTTAAGTAGTTGGATATTGCTTGTTCTACAGCTAGCCATACAGTATTTTAACTAACTGTATGTTCATACCTTTAAACTGAATAATTTGTTTTCACAATGAACAGATTAATAGATGCAAATAGTTAATAAACTATGCCACGACTGTCAAATATGCATTACATGAAGTTTATGAGTTTATGTTAAAACTGTAATCCAAGTGGATGGACATTTTGCAGTTCAAATACATAAATCTTAAATTTAGATCAAAATATTTTTTGGGGTGTAGTATTGATTGAATCTCAACTTCAGCATTAACCCTTGCCACTGTGTCATTGAATCCACCAATTAAATTTATTCTTAAAAGATACATCATCAGGCCCAGTACATATTTTTTTGCAGATTTGTCATAAAATATTGATTTTGTCCAAAAGCACTTATCCTCTTCAACTTTTGACAAAAACCACAATTGTGGTTCTTATCCTCAAAAGCAGTTTGGGATGAAATGCATCAAACTCTTTATAATCACAATAATACTTCAAAATGCCATGAAGGAAAGAGAAACACTTTCCTTTGCCAAACTCAACTATTTGTGTGAAGTCTAAATGTCACCGGCAGATTGCTGCTCTGCAGTCTCCAGTGTCGTATTGACTCCAACAGATTGGATTTTGCATTGGTCAGTGCTGAAAGCACTAAAACGAAGGATTTAATTTCTGTCAAGTGCAAAATTAGCTTTGTGGAAAGATCGCCTATCGCTGTTGTGTTTGCCTGTAATCCTGTGATTCATGCAGGAATCTTTATATACCCTCTGGATGAGGGCAGCGTGGTGGTTGGGTTCGAAGCGATGATTGGCAGTCAGATAATAACCGTGCAGGTCAAAGATAAAACGAAAATCGATGACTGTTTCTTTGATTGCTGCAATGCCAATGGAACCCCGCAGAACGGAGGTGGTAAGATTTTATGCTCATTTATAATGCTCATCAAAGATCTTACGTAACTAATCCCTGATTCAGAGCTTAAACGTAAGGCCTGTCATGGTGTCTGTTGAATCCAGTTAAAAAATTAGTTCACCCAAAAATTTGCTGAAAATGTACTCAACCTCAGGCCATCCAAGAGTTTGTTTCTTCATCAGAACAGATTTGGAGAAACGTAGCATTACATCGTTTGCTCACCAATGGATGCTCTGCAGTGAATGGGTGCCGTCAGAATTAGAGTCCAAACAGCTGATAAATACATCACAATAATCCACACCACTCCAGTCCATCAGTTAACATCTTGTGAAGTGAAAAGCTGCATGTTTGTAAGAAACAAATCCATCGTTAAGACAATTTCAAATCATTGCTTCTGCTAAAATACGAGTCCTCTACCCGTCTAAATCAGAACAGAAATATGCATAAATATAAATCAAGCAACCTTTACAAGTGAAAACTGTCCAAAACAGTTCTAAACAAATATGTCAGTAGATTTTGATGTGAGAGGAAAACAGGGGATGGACTATTTCGCTGGAAGAAGCGCAATTACCGTATTGGCCCGAATATAAGACGACCCTGATTATAAGACGACCCCCATTTTTCCAGATGTACCTTTTGGAAAAAGGCTTTTTAAAAACCAAATCTTGTTTTTTCTCAGTAAAACACATTTTGTCTTCAATTATTTTCATATTGCATATTTTTCCTATTTTAATTTTTGTTTTGAAAGTATGGTAAAAACTGGTAAAATGTACCAACAAGAAGTTAGAAGTTCAATCTTACTGTAGTCTTCAAATCTATTGACATGTCAAAGTCTAGACCCTGAATATAAGACGACCACGTTTTTTCAGATGTATTTCCAACAAAAAAACATTGTCTTATATTCGGGTCAATACGGTATGAATTATCGACTGTTTTAAAGGGGTGGTTGATTGCGATTTCACTTTTTTAACATT